CCGTGTGAGTTGCTAATCCACCTGTTACATTAACCAGCGCACGTAAGGGTATCGATTATGACAAAAGCTTTAACAGGTTGGAAATAAAATCATTCCTTTTGCAACAGTAAAAGAAGAAAAAAAAGGAAAAAAATGGTTACTGCTATAAAGGGAGTTTTAGTGAAATGCGACGAGCCGACGATGCAAATAATTCTGCTGATGAATGAAGGCAAAAATTTCTTGATAGAAAAAATCAGTGACACAGTTTGCTTATGCAAGGAAAATGTATACGACTTTTTGGAAAAAGAAGTGATAAGACAGTTGGAGTACACAGAAAGGCACGAAACGGAAGAATAATGCGGGAATCATTTCACTTGCCGCATTGTCTGACTTTTTTTTTTTTCTACATCCAAGGGGAATGTACGATGCCAAAACGTACTCTGAAAAATAGCCATTCGTTCAAAAAAACGTTGCACTTTTTCAGTTAAACGTTATGCGCCTTTTTGAAGAAATGCCATTTTGTTAAGAGCATATAGCGCAATCGTATGCGCACGTGTTTGTGTCGGTGTATATAAATGTATATCCATACGTGGAAAGCAACAGAGTAACCTTTTTTTATGCGCCTGTGTGATTTTCTCCTTTTTGCTAGCAATTAACTCTTAAAAATTGCAAAGTTGTCTGGCAGTGAAATAGGACATTGCATAAAGTGCGGAATTTGCACAAATGGGAAGAAATAAAACATACATATCAGCTTCAAACAAAGGCACAGCTTCTTGAAGTAATGGGACATCCTGTTCGAATAGACTCTCGCGTGGACGAACCAAATCAGTAGGTACTGTTAATTCTGTAGCTGATGTCATCGATCAACCACATAAACGACTTTAGTAACCCCTTTCCCGAAAAAGCGCTGCACTCATTTATGCACCAGTGGCGATCGATGTTCATTTCGTTTAGCTTCAAAATCTGCGAGGAGAATTGTTCAGGGAGCGCATGGGGATGTAGGCTTCTATATGCACAGAAGTGTGCGCACTCGAGAGGTGCTACGACCTATGCCTTAGACGAATACGCTTCAAAAAGAAGCGATCACGGAGATTCTCTTAACCGCGTATGCGCAAAAGCATGCACATATATCTTTGCGCGTGTGTGTTCGCTCGGTTCTCCCCCGTTAACACAACTAGACAGCTGCAAAACTGCACAGCTGCACTGGAGAGCTGCACTACACAACTACACAATAGTTACCTCAACGATTTGCTTCACCTTTGAAGAGTTCTCTATGTCCACCTTGTTGGATAAAATCAGGAGGGAACATCCGTACAGTCTCTCCTCTTTTAAAATTTGTTTCAACTCATATGAACATAACTGGATTCTAAACAAATCGGAACTATCGATGACATAAATAATGCCGTCGACATTCTCGTAATAATTTTTCCAAAAGTGCCTAATACTTTTCTGCCCCCCTATGTCCCATATATTAATAAGGTGCTTATCAAACTGCAACGTCTCAATGGTAAATCCGAACGTTGGACTTACTTTATAAATGTCTTCCCCCAGTAGCCTCTTCACGATTGTCGTTTTCCCGGCGTTGTCCAACCCTAGTATGATTATCCTTAAGTTTTTCTGCTTTTCCTTTATTTTCTTGAGAATTTTCAGGAGCACCATTTTGGCGCGTTCCCGGGGGGGGGAGGGCTCATTAAAATCGAGTGGGCGAATGGCTCAGAGTGCGTACATATATATATATATATGTACATACTTATACGCACACGTACGTCCAGGCTACACATGTATACGAACAGGCGCACATCCCCATTCACTCACTTCGGATAACAGTATGTAGTCAAAACGAGTGCCAGTAATGTCATAACCGTTTGTCTCCTTAATGTTTGTTTTGCGTGCATTTTTATGCCTCTCTTTTGTTTATACTTACCCGCTCGCGAAATGGCAAAGCGGTTAATGAGCTTCTATATTGATACGCTAAATAGGTCATTAAAAAGGTTGTCCTTTTCCGTTTCGAAATGGGGACATTTTTAAACAGTCACGGTTTGAAGTGATACCCATAATGTCATGCACGAAAAGCAATTTCGCGCGGTAGTAGTCGCAAGCACTCCAAAAGGAGAAATCCCCAAAAGGAGTTCCTCAATTTTTACAAATTGCCTTCCTGCACGCGCACATCATTCCGATACTACAATTTAATCGTCCTTACGGGTGTAATAAAATCAAGTACAAAAATGCCCGACCACATTGAAGAGAGTCCAACTTTAAAAATCACATAAAATTTAATAACTTTTCCCCATTGGTATCACGCAAAATGACAGTGATAACCTCACTGGTCAAAATAGTTCGTATTATATTTGCTCTTTTTCCTAATTTAATTCAGTTTAATTGTAGAAAAAAAAAAGATAACGTCGCTGTTCGCTTTGTAGTACAAACGCATTTGTGCATTCAAGAAGTAGGAAAAAGGGAAGGTAAAATTTACAGGCAAGGGGAGAAATCCCATTGAACTGATTATGAACACGACATGGAAAGGAAAAAAAAAGGTAAATTCCCCGCGAAATAGCAGTAGTATTTCAAAAGAAGAATGTCCTACTGTGAAAATTAAAAATATAAAAGCGTGTTATTCAAAACACCAATGTGTAGTGCCCCGCAACGTATAGGTCCAAGGCGTACACAATAACTCCTTTCGTTGAAGGCAATTAAAAGATTTCCCCAAATTCTTCGAGAAAAGTTAAGTTTATTAAATTATTCATTTCATTTAAATCTGTTAAAGAGGAAGTAAAAAAAAAAAAAAAAAAAAAAAAATGAAGATTAATGTGAATTTCTTTCTTTTGTTACAGCATCGAACTTATAAATTTGTAGAAAGGGGATAACTTTCCGAAGTGTTTAACTATAGTAGCTACATAACTCTCTTTCTTCCCTTCCACGTTTCCCATTTGCGATGTAGAACAGGATTGTGCATGCACACCTGCTTGTACGCATATTGCCAGTATGGCAGTATGCCGCTTAACACGTCTCATGTGCAAGGAGGGGAAGTTCCTCTCCCATTTTTTCTTTATATTCTTCTGCTTACTTAAAGAATTTCCTCCATTCTGTACGTACACTATATCGCTTAACGTATCATCTTTGTTGACCTAAAAATGAGGAGAAGCGAAGTACAACTGACATGTGCAGGTAACGAAGCAGCGCACTCATGGGTACACTCCCTCAAACAGACGTAAATGGATAACGTGGCGCCTCCTTACCTTCCCTAAAACTTCGACATATTGATCTAATTTGCCTTCCCCTTGGTTTTCACTCAAAAAGCATTTTACTTCTTCATCTGGGAAGCATTCCGCGTTGGGGAAAAAACATCGGGTTTTGAAGCGCGGCGCCAGGGTTTATGCGCGCATATTCATACATAAACACGGAATGTACACCTACGTAGTGGGTGCACATTTGCTAGCGCATCTACGAATGTACAGACGCATACACATGCTTATGCGCGCACGGTGCGATCACATCACGTTTGTAGGGGCCTCCCTTACTATCGCAGGTTTGCAGAGTGAGTTGTCCTTCTTCCTTCTTTAAAACCTTGCCCACTATTCGCACATTCTTGTTGTAAAATTTGTTCAGGTATTTCTTGTTGACTCTCCTAGCAGTTTGGAAAACAAGAAAGGGGGGGCAGAGAAAGACTACCATAAATATGCACGTGCATGGCTGCATATATATGTATAGGTACGTATGTGCCCAAGTGGGGAGAGGTAAATCTGTGTGGACGGATAGGGTCGGTCATCCCCCCATTGTCGATGTGCCTCCTGCTTACGGCGCTATGAAATGTTCCATTTTGGGGTTCACGGGAAAAGTGTATTTCTTACGCTTGTTAGTAAAATTTTATGAGTATGTTTGCGCACAGGCATATAAGATATATCGAGGGATTTGTCCTTCTTGATGTGCCGATCTTATGCCAGGTTTGCCAGATTGTGCGTCCCTTCGACGTATCAAAGTTCGCCTTTATGTTAAAATAAGCTGTGACCAATTGGGGAGTCATAAAAAGAGTGTACCCCTTCTCCCTACAGGTGAGCGCTGGGAAAATAAAAATCCTCTGGAAGAAAAAATTGCTTGTCGTAAAACACGTAATTTTTTGGAGGGATTATCTGCGGGTGGAACAAGCCGATGCGAAATTAGCAAAGTTTTATCGTGTTAAAAAGAAAAAAAAAGGAGAAAGGAATAAATTTAAAGGAAGGGGCATTTTTATTAACTGTAGTTGTGATGTGTACTCAGCGATTCAGTCACGTTAAGCTTTATTTATATGGGGGGGGCACGTGAGAGGGGGGGCGTATATGTGCATACGCCTCACCATCTACAAGTTTGATTACATCGTAAAATTACGTGCACTTTGAAAAGACAAATTCGTGAAAAGCGGGGGAGGGCGGGAAATGTTTGCCAAATTGCGCAGAGATGCGTAAAAAGTGTAAGGCATATGCGCACATATACACATAATGCATATAACATGTATACGTTTTTTTTTTTTCTTCTTCTTTTGATTCACAAACATACTGCGCAATTGAGAAACCATTAGTTAAGTTCCAAAATAGGAATGTTTTACACTTCTACAAAAAAAGTGAAAAAAACGGCTAGAGCGCGGCATGACACATTGTTATGTACAAGGGAGTTACACGTCCCTGCGAATGTATGGAGAGCCCATGTATCCCATAGCCATATGGGCTCCCCCCCCCCTCCCCCCTTTTGGAGGGCCATCATTACGAAAAAACATATGGTACGTATGCGATATAGAGGACGGGTTCAAAACAATGTGCGCTTTTTTTTTCGAAACTACGTAAGAACACATGGAACGGCAAAAAGGGATGGCACTGACAGATGACCAATTTGCCAACGCTTCGGAAGATGCTCCGTTGCAGTAGAACCTCAAATTAGAGGACTCCAAATTAGCACATATTGCAGAATAATGGAAACCATTTGCACACCTTCCCAATGAACAAGTCACTTTTGGAGATCGCGATACTTAAAGAAGGCCTCCCTATCAAATATCTTTTGCTCATCCGATAGGGTATAATTTTTTGAAATATTTCGACCCTTCTTATGATTAGGCGGTTTGGTGATCATGCCCAAGTTCTTCTTCCGCCTGAGCATTTTATTTTTCTCCTTCTTATATTTGCTTTCCTGTTTCTGTGCATATCTCACCATGACGTCTACTTTTTTAACTGGGCTGGTAATTTCGGTGGAGATCTTCTTGCGGGTCATTTTTTTAAGCCACTTGTTATACTTGGAGTTAATATAATTCCAGCTGTTCTTCTTCTTATCGTAAACGGTGGAGTTGTTGCTTAACTTAAAATAGTCCGTTGCCAAATCGATTGGAACGTGAACAATATCATTGGTTCTTTTCTTACCAAATAACTTTAATTTTTTGGTTCCTTTGATGATGCTGCTTCTGGTTTTTAAGCCAATGTAATGTTTCTTCACACCGGTGTTTTCTCTATTCGTGGAGGATGCCCCTTGGGGGGGGGCTAGATCACCGGGAGACCCACTACATATAGGTGACTTTTTTTCCACACTGCTGCTCTCCCCTTGTGAAGCAGAACGAACGGGAGTGCGTGGTTCCCCCTTTTGTACATTTTTCCCTTGTCCAGGTGTGCCGGAACTGGTTTGTATTTCTAAACTTTCTAGCTGGCTACTTCTATACATCTTGTACGCATCGGACTTGATTTTTTCATATATCTGATGCGTGTTTTTATCCTTTAAGTTAAAGGTGTAACTGGACAGGATGTGACCATTCGGTGTTGCCGCTTTACTTCTCTTTAACCCACTTGCATAATCCTCAGGGGTATACGTATCTTCCTCTTCCAATAAAATGTTTTCCTTAATTTTGGAATAATCCTCACGTTTAAAATGATCACTCCATGATTTGTTTTTGTTTCCTTCAAATAGAGTATCCATTTTTACATTTTCACAATGGAGGTACTCATATTTGTTCTTCTTCTTTTCATCCGATAAAAGTAGACTGTCCAGAAGTAGCTCCTTTTCTAGTTCCATCGAGTCGATACTACTTAGCAAAGGCAGATTTGAATAATCACCATTTCTGTTATGGCCAGCACTGTGGGGAACCTCCAAACCGTTTGTACAATATGACGCATGATTAGCAGACACCGCTTGGTCGGCATCCCACGTCTGTTCCGATACCGTTTCGTTACTCATGTGGGTTTCCTTATTTTCTTTTCCGTCAATCTTTTTGCTGACTTCACCATCAGACCTTTCCCATGGGGATAAATCTGCACTAACACGATTACTAGATTTATCGCCAATGGTCTCTCCCCAAAGGTGTTTCTTCCCCTTATCACCTTCCAGTTGCTGTTCCGTTAACCCCAACCCTTTCTTGTATTTCCTTCGTTTATTTTCCATGTAGGTGGTCCCATTATTGTAATGACCCTGTGTGTTGTTCACGCAAAACTGTTCTGCATCATTTATCTTCCTTGAGGATGGTTCCACCAAATTCTCATGTTGGTGACCCAGTTTACCACATTTTTCAATCACGTCGTCAATAATGTTTAGGTCTCTCTCGTTAAACTCTTCACGGCACTGGCGCAGAAACTTTTCTTGCAGGGTTTTTATTATGAGCTTCATGTGGCAACCTATGTATTGATTAAAAGGTGTGTCTACAATCGGTTTTTCCAATTTTTTCCATCTATTTAAGGCTTCCGAAATGGTGTCATCGCTGAGTAGTATGTCCTTCGACAGGGTCTCTCCTACGTTGGTCGTTTTGCCCTTTCTTTTACTTTTGTTTTTACTTTCTGTGTTGCCCACGTCTGGGGGGTTCCCCGTGGGGCGGTTAAACTGGCCCTCAACTCCGCTAAGGCTGTTAACATCGCCAATGCCGCTAACGTCGTTAACATCGACAATGCCGCTAACGCCGTTAACATCACCAATGCGTCTAACTCTGCTAATGGCGTCCGCCGCCAACTTCCTCAACCTCCTCTGTTCGATCAAGTCGTTGATCTTCATCACGATGTTATTTTTAACGATGACTTTGTTTAGCTGGTACCTGGCAATTTCCCTCCGCAGCTCATTCAAGTTCTGTCTTTTCAGAGAACTGAGGGGAATAATTGGGCCCTCCAAATTTTTAAAGCAAGCGATTTCCTCGTTCGCGATTTGAATCTTTATGGCCAAGTCTTTCGTATTCAGTAAGTCACATTTGCTTAAGACTATCTGATATTTAATATTATATCGATCGAAAAAATGGAGCAATTCTTTGTCACTTGTTTTTAGTCCAATTCTGCAATCAATGAGAACAAAAACTTTTTTTAAATTTTTCCTGTTTTTTAAATAAAATAACGTAAATTCATTCCACTGGAGCCGTAATTCTTCCTTACTATGGGCAAATCCATATCCTGGCAAATCCACCAGACATAACAAGCAAGGCTTGGCAATTTTATAAAAATGTATTTGTTTCGTGCATCCTGGTAATTTACTCACTTTTGCTTTATTTGTTCTGCCACACAATTCGTTGATTAGTGTAGATTTTCCACAATTTGATCTACCTATAAATGCTATTTCTGGATATTTTGGTAACGGCAACTCACTCACTTGAATGGCCGTTTTGTATAATATCATTCTTGGCTTTAACTGGTCTAAAAATATGGGCGCAAAATTCGGTCGCTTCTCGTTCACGTATTTCCTTTGCAACTTATTCAGTGGTTTCCCCAACATTTTTTTTTTTAACTGTTCATATATTTTTACATCTATTTTTGTGTTCCTCTCCCTCTGTCTTCTGCTTATGCCGTTGGGACTGACCGCCTCTCCGTGCGTTCCGTTTGCATCGTTGCTTACTCTGTTTCCTGCTCTGTTGCTCACACGGTTCCCCGCACTGTGGCCCACATTTTTTCTCACCTGTTCTTCCCTCAGTTTGCTGCGTAGGCTGGCGTACCTTCGAAACATCTGCCCTAGTAGCTGCATTTTGGCTTTACCAAGGGGGGTGCCTGGCGTTGCGTTTGGAACACCGTTCGCTGGCAAGTTTCTCGGTATTCTCAACACCGGTCATGCTCGCCATCCATCGTTGCTGAGGCACGTTGGTGTGTCCCCCAAGTTCCCATTCGCGTGAGCCTTTCTCTGCAGAGGTATGGCTCCACATGTTGTACACGCGCGTATCTAACGCCTTGCGCAAATCGTTCGCTGCTGGGAAAAAAAAAAAACTTTCCTTCTCTACGCTGACTTAAAAATGGCATCATTTGCATATTCATCTGGGCACCTTTCTGCAAAAACGTTGCTAACGCGTGCGCAAGAAATTACGACGCTTTTTTTTTTGCCAAGTAGCACTACGAATCGGACCCAAACAAAGGCATACACACACGTTAACCCTGTACAATTAATTGCCTCAAAAAAATAACCTTTTTATTTCAACTTCTCAAGCAAGTGACTTTCCTTTTCTACTTCCCAGAGGTGTCCCCTCTGATGCTTTTCATCTTTGCCTCTTCCTTTGCAGGGAGAAACAGATAATCATTTCAGATGGTACAATTTCAGGTTGGGAAGCTTGGCATCCTTTCCCTCCCCCCTGTCACGACATCCGTGCATTATGCACATGGGTGATACCTTATACGATTTTTTATTTTGTGCTTTTTTTGCATTTTTTATAGTTTAACTGTTATGAAAAAATTTATATAAAGGGCACAATTCGAAAGAGTATTTTTTTTATTTGGTGAATACGCGTAAAAGCGCTTTTCTACATAAACACAAACGTGTGAACATGTGCATATTTATCTGTGGAGGCGCAGGAAGTGATGAAGTGAAGAAAAGGTAGAGCGATGGATGGAGACGGCCTTTTGGTCTCCCTCGCGACCATCATTTCCGCTTCTCCTGCTTCCCCGTTGTGCATTTCCCCGTTACACACAACTATCTGGTCTTCATTCACCCGTTCGGTTACTGACCCTACGAGTAAATTTGCCCCTCCATCTCTGACACGTTACACACCGTACCATCGCACATGCATATGATACACACAAACATGGGGCATTATCAGAAGCCCTCTACGAAATTGTTCCCTGTTCTAAGGGGCAAGTGATTTCTCCTTTAGACGAGAGCCACTTGACATCTTTATAATAGGCTACCCCATTCTTGACGAGCAGATGTGGCTGGATATGAAAAAAGGGATTCTTCTCCTTATCAAAGCTTAAGGTTTTATCTGGTAACTTATTGACGTCCATATTTTCACAAATAATTCTCTCCCCAGCGTTGACTCCAGATGGGGGGGTAAGTAGCTCTATCTGTTCACCAAAAGATCCGCATAAAACCATACCATGACTTTTTCTTCCTCTCAAGGACTTTTCCTTCAAATTGGCTAACACTAAAACGTATTTGTGTAGTAAATCTTCTGAATTCTTTTTAAGTCTTAAGCCACTGCAAATGTCCCTGGATTTTTCTTCCCCCACATTTACCTTCAAACAGTACAGCGTATCCGCATCGGGGTGAATTTCTACTTCCTCTACATACCCTACGATAATATTTAATCTGGTAATATCGTCCAGGCTCTTTGGTTCCTCTACTTTTTTTTTCTGAGCAATTTTATTTTGATCATTATTTTTCTTTTTTTTTTTTTCATTTTCTCCATTTTCATTTTTTGCATTCTTATCATCCTTCTGTTGTCTCATGCCTGCATTATTAGCTCGCTCACTTGGGCTCATTACATTTTTACTATTTAGAAAAGTTTCCAGGCTGTCCCTAACGTCCAACCTTTTCAGTGTAGTGAATTTCCCCACTAAGGTTTCTTGAATGTGTAAAAACCATCTATATATGTGTGAATTTTCGACTCTCTCATTGGCGGGCATTTCACTTAAAGGTTTATAAACAGAGCAGAAATAAAAAATGTCCACTATGGAAGCATGTCTATTCGATACAATGTACGATTTTTCGCACAGCAGATCATTCAAATGCTTCATGTCTAGCTGCTTCAGTTTAAATTTGTCACTGGCCAAATGGAAAATGAATTCTTCATTTTCGCTCACTTTGCCTTCATCTTCGTTGAACAATTCGTTGTAGCAGTCGTATATATCGATAATCGCGTAAAGGGTGCAAAACAGCTCCTTGTACTTTTTGTCCTTATACTCGAAAGAAATTTTCTACAGAAGGGAGAAAAGCCGGCGTGGCCGGGATGGAAGATGAAAAATGAAATAACCCTGTTGCGTAAAAAGAACGCAGAGCCAAGGCACACTTGCACGTGTTTATTTTTAGCCAGTTCAACGGAAACATGCAATATATGTACAATATAGGTGCACACATCGCTGGCGTAAAAAAAATGTTCTTCCAAGTGAGCAAATAAAGCCATTATAAATCGCTGCGCAGTTTTTTTTTTCCCCCATTGGCGATGGCTCCCCTCGCACGGCGCGCAGCATCTACATATAAACACAATTTTGCCTCTGTAAACCCGTATATTTGTTCATATTTTTACCTTCTCGTGTCGCACTTCGGGAAATTCTACTTTTTCATCATCTTTGATGACTACCGCTTTGATAAAGTCAAGGACCAATTTCAGAATATCTGATTTCACATCGTCCTGGACTAACGTTAAAACAGACATTTTCCTCGACAAATATTTTTACGCTCTTTCTAATGGGGGTTGTGTCGTTTTATATGACAAACGCAGCTGCCGATTTGGGGAATTCTTTTAGCTATGTAACGTTATATTTCTTCAGGTTAGTAATTTTGCTTGCCCAATTAGCATATTTCCTTCGTGCAGCCCTCTCATAATATATACATGCATAAGTTTGCGTTCTACGCGTGTTGCGAACTTTCCTTTTGCTTTTTCGATTTGTTACCGTTAAAGCTAGCTGCTTTGGTTTCGTTCGACAGTCTCTTAATTGGTCAAATCGGTTATCTGTTTCTTCTGTTCGTTAGCTCCTTTTTGTTCACCTGGTCATCCGTACATGTACTTTTGTAGCTTTATACCTTGGTATTTTTTTTTTTTTTTCTTTTTTTTATTTACATGCGATGACAACTCAAATTAATTTACAACGTATACTTTTTACTCATTCAACAAAATGAAGCGCAAAAAAAAAAATATTATAATGTACGGGTAAGGCGTAATGAAGGGCGTCTACGCGGAAAAGAAGCAACCGGTGCATACATCATACTACACGTTGCTTCCCTTTTTGCCTACCCTCTCCCTTCGCTTAAAAGGTTATGTGCCAATTTTTTAATTTCTCCAAATTTTGGAAGCGCTTAAAATGATGTAGCTCCTGAAAGAAGAGAAAATTAAAGCGAAATAGTACAAAAAAAACGTTGCAGAAAGGCAGTCATATCGCCATTCAATTGGAAAGGGACCACAAAAGCAGGTCAACATTTTGGCTTGCGTCCCATACAGGGTTGGCCCAAATACATCGGAATGTTCCATCCATGTGATCCACGTTTAACGCATAAGAATTTGATGTAGGTATGGAAAAAGTCAAAATATGAACCTTGGAAATGAGAACAAATGCATGTACCATTATGTGGGCAGAAATAGTAACCGACAAAACCCACATGGGGAAATTATGCCCATTTCGCACACATCCCGAGTTCTACCTGAAAAATGTAACTAGATATCGTTTGCATCGAAGTGGTAGAAATGTATCACATGTTTATGTGCATCTCTCTTCACACGTCTTATAATTCTTTTTTTAAAAAAACATAGAACGCTCCGCGCGTTGGTGTGTAAGCATATTTTACTCGGCAGGTACGCCGCAAAAAAGGGGGTGTTGGAATGTACCATTTTGTACACATGTTCAGTTTTACATAAATCAGAAACGCACTTCTTCGCAAAGTTTTTTTTCTTTCTCTGTTTAAGTGTACCATTTGTTATTCACTTTTAGTAGTACGCACGTAATGCGCGTTTGTTCCTTTTGCCCAAATTATAAAAAAAAATGGCAGGATATTAGGTTCCACAAAGGGAATATCCAACGTATGCTTTTTTTTCACGCCAGTTGTTTAAATTCAAATGAACACAAATTTCTACTTCAGCAAAAGAAAAGAACAGAAAAAAAAGGAAAAAAAAGAACTTAGTTAAAATCATGTGTAGCACACATTGTCTAAATACCTCTCTACATTTTCAGGTATTCAGAAATGCGCAGAATAGAAAATATACAAACATTGCAAAATGGCAATTGCATCTCTTTGCACCATTTTTGCGGTTTTATAATAGCACACATTTATCGTACCGTCTTTATGGCCATTCCGCCGCACAGTGATGTTGACTTATCATGGACTAAATTGGCCACCTGTTTATTTCCCAGAAGGCGACGGTGAATGCAAAAAAAAAAAAAAAAATTTACCCTTGCAAACTACATTTGTGTTAAGTGCCAATTCGAAACAGTTCCATGTCATTTCTACAGAAACATGTAGCAACCAGAAATAAGAGGGGTGTTTAAACCTGTGGGCGAAAGAATGCTCCATTTTTATTTAGCAGTTTTTTCTGTTTCTACCTCCTCGCAAAGTTTGAATTTTTTTTCTATAAATGAGCCTTTTTTTTATGGCGAGGCATCTTCACCCCTCCTGTGAAACGGACGCAACCTACTTTATTTCTACGTGACCATTTGTTCACCTTTAAGCGACATACATTTACACATGTGTGGCCTGCACGAGTATATGTACGAGAATATGCACGCGTATACATCTGCACATATGTGTACTTACCTACTTACATGCATAAGGCATACGCAACATGTGCAGCTCCAATGATCACCCCTGCGGTGAAATGCAAAGCTACGTTCGAACTGCCGGAACGTTATCAATAAAAGGCGCTACGAGGATTAGCGCGAAGAAGCTTGTTCATACAGAATAAAATTCGGTGTGATTCAGCGTATTCATACACCTTCCACATTCGCACCATTTTGACGAAATTGTATATCCACTTGGATCACACAAAACTATGCATCCTTTTGTGATGGCATTCAAATTGGATGTCATTTTTTTTCTTTTTTTTTTTCTTTTTATGGGTACGTTAAAATGAATGCACGCATTTGTAACAAGGGAAAATTATTTAAATAATAAAACACGTTCACAATGTGAGGTGAGGCAATTTTTTTTTTTTTGTTTTCCATTTTTTGATCCCCTATCCTTATGTGCCATTTTGTGTTAACTCCGCCATGTGCCGTGCCCTTCGCTTCGCCCTAAGCGAACAGCCACTAGAAGGAAAAAAAAAAATAAAATATTTTCCACACCTTATATAATTTTCTTAGAGCATTCCAGACGGCAAAATAAGCGCGAGGTATTTTTCAGCTTATTTTTTGCCACGCGTACAAAAGGAAAAGCCATCGTTACGAGAAGTAAGCGATGTGAAGAAAGTTATGCCAGAATCTGGTGAATTCTTCCAATGTGCGAATACGGGAACATGCGAATTTGCGAATATTGTCAGCTTTGCGAATTTTTCCAGCTCTGATAAAAAAGGAACGCACTGATTTGTTCATACAAACGCGTCGAATTTATGCGTGCCCCTTTGAACGCATGGTGTGAGATGTGCTATATACTTCCCGTTCTTGCTTTTACCCACCCCCATCGAATCGCAGAAAAATGATAAAACGCAATAGCGCGTCACTTACATTTTGTACATTGTTTAGTATTTCCATTGTTCCTTTTGTTTAAAATTTTATGTCATTTTTCTTTTCCTCGCACGTATTTTTACCTTACGTGCGTACGTATAAGTATACATCAAGTACTTTTCCTTTCTTTTCTTTTCACTTCTCTCTTTTTTTTTTTTTTTGTTTTAATGCTATGCCGAATTTTATATGCCTTTCTGTCATATGAACAAATGCATGCCAACACACTGACCGTACGTAACAGTCACAGTGGCTACAAATAATAACAGTGTTTGTTCCGTTTGATCTCACTGCCTCCCTACCCCCGTTTGTTTCAATTTTCACATTTTAAGCTATGATTACACCATTAGGTAGAATAAAATGTACAAATGCGTCAATGTAGATAGCCTGGACGATGAATTTCTAACCAATAAAGATTCATTCAACAACTTAAACGTAAAGGAAAGAAGCAGTGGAAGGATAGCTAAAAGCTATTACGGCAAAAATGATGCAGAACACATGATGCAGAATGCGGAAAAAAATTACCTAAACCGTTTTGATGCAGCAAATGGGAATCTCAACAAGAATTATCTCTACTTTTGTGATAATGTAATGGATGAAAATAGCAGCAAAAATAGCGACCTGAATAGCAAAGCGTTAGAGGAACATTTGAGCAACTACAGCTACCATGTTGATCCAGAGTACATACGTAGTAATAGTTATGGAGGCTCACAAGTAAGGGTTGGCGGAAGCCATCTAATTAGTCTTAGTGAACAAAAAAACATGATTTTGTCCAAGGAGCGCATTAACAACAGTTACTTCAGCAAAAATTATGACAACACAAGTGACGCCCACAGAAATGATTGCAACAAAAATAGGGACCAAATCGTCAACATGATAAGTAATCATTATAATAATTTAATCAGAACGACCAATAAGGGCATAGAAAATATATACAACAATTGCGATGCTATCATTTCCAAACAAAACTACGATAGCTCGTCCGATGTTAGCAGTACTATTTTGATAAACAAAGACGACATTACACAGAACAATAACCATTACGCGGATTATAACTGCAATAGTTATTTTAATTATCGCAACGATCACACCTCTACACACCACTACAACGGCAGTGCCAATAATGGCGGCCAAAATAATGGCAGTAGGACTGGTCACTACAACGGTAGCAACAGTGGTTACAACAACGGAAGCAGCACAAGGAATAATAAACGACACACCAACGGCTGTAATAATGGCAGCCTCCTAAGCAGGAATGGTAACTATGACGGAGGAAAAAGGGAGTGCTTCCCTTATGCACATGAAAGCTCGCTGAACGAAAATTTAATACACGACACCTGTGACTACGCCAAAGTGGGGAAAGTCGAACTGGCAATGCGAGACAACGAGCTGAATTCGTTATCTGTATGCAATGACGAAGACGCACAGAATAGAATTGTTCAAGATATGGATGAACAAATAAAGCAGGGCGACATGTACTTCTCAAATAGACTCCAGAGCATTGAAAGGGAAAACACAAACAACCGAATTAAGATCTACGACATATTTAACAATCTTAATATTAAAAAGAGTAATAATACAAATATGGGCATTTTAAATTTTTTGAAAAATAAGAGGAATAACAAATACGCCTATGATAGCAAGGGTATTCGAAATGACGCTGCAGAAAATGAGACCCTCAGCAGAGAGAATCAGAGCAGTGGCGTGTGCAATAAAGCAGGGAGAATCTCTGGTGAGGGAATCCCTGGGGATGGCCACGCGGCGAATGGCCATAATGCAGGGGGCGCCAGCCCAAGTGGTCATAGCAACACTGAGGGAAGCTACAACAGTAACAGATTCAACACTATAATGAGAAACGTTGAAAGTAACGACCCGCATAATAACCCCCCCGTGTTAAAAGGATTCGCATACAACGACGAAGAAGCAAAAAACAAACTAGCGACATCCCATCACATTTTAATCGATAAGAAGTATATAGAGGAAAACGAGGAGAAACCATCCAAGGCCCAATTAGCAAATAAGTCTAATATTAGCTCATTTGAAACTTTCAAACTTTTAGAGAAGGATGACAATGGTGATGTTACTAATTTGTACAGAATTGCACCGAATGAATTTTTAAATAAAAGGAACAGCTGTTCAGATGAATGTAGTAATAAAACCGATTCCGCAAAAAATAAGCAGAACAATCCCTTCATTGTGTATCATTATGTGAAAAAGGAACGAACAGATAATGCAGCTTTGCTTCCCAACGGCAAGGGAAAGGGTGGCAGAAATAAAAGCGGTAGCACTGGTAGTAAGGGTAACGAAAAATGCAACGTAAACAGTGAAAGTAGCAAGAGAAACCCAAGTGGTAACAATTTCGAAGAAAATAACAACCCGATTCATAGCCATTGCGTTGATAACTATGACTGTGGTAAGGAACTTCCCTCCCGGGGTAACAAGACCAACAGGAAAGGCCCAATCCCAAGGAACCCGGCAACAAATAGCAGTGATAACTATAATATAGGGAAAAAAGGCCTACATATATTTAAAACAGGATCGGAAGTACACAACGGCAGTTTTAACCATTATTCGAAGAAAGGCACTAAAAAAGACTCATTTGACGGAGAACACAGAATGGATGTTAAGAGGAGAAAGCCAGACAAGGATCATCACCACTTCAAAGAAGGATTTGAAACTGATGGAGAATTTCCTTTTAACGCGAAATGCAATGGAAACGATACTTATTACCTACACGAGGAAAACAGAAAAAATGAAAAAGTAAAAACCAACGAAGAGTTATCAAGTAAATATATTTCTTCATATTCCGAGTCGTCCCTGCCCAGCTCCATGCAATCCTTTGCGGAGCCCAAAGATAGGGTATCCCAAAACAGCCGAAACTCCAGCATGGAACTTACAAAAGAAATAAAAAACAAGTGCGAAAAAAAATGTAATGTAAAAAGAAAAATGGACATGAAAGGGAAACAAAAAAATGAGCAGTTCCATCCAAGTAAAACCAACTCGTTAATTGATGACATAAGTTGCATTTATGAGGACGCGAAGCAGTACAATTTTATCGATGGAATTGCCGGAAATCGTATGAAACGAAACGATAACTGTCGACACAATGTCAACGAGTCCGCTAACTGTGACAATGCTAATAAATATAATAAAGGGATTGACATCGATGTGAGAATCCCCGGAGACCCACACAATTATGACGAAACAGAAGCGCCTCTGGAACAAAATAACTGCAAACACGAATGCAGAGACGTACCCACGGTGTATGTCAAGAAAAAGAAAAAAAGAAAAAAAAAGAAACATAATGAGAATGATCGGCACACCGAAAGTGGTAGTGACAGGGATGGAGCAAACAGCTGTGATGAAGGTGGAGGTAACAATGACTGTAAAAAGAGCCTCAAAGGTGAAGACAGTTCTGTGAGAAGCACGCACAGACGAAGCAACTCACCTAATGTTAACCAATCGGATCCTAGGAACGCTGTTGAGAGGGGTAGTAAAAAATATTCAGGCGAACATAATAACGCGTTAAAAGAAGTAATTACCCACAAGGGGGACAATCATGATCGTGACAGTGAAAAGGGGAATGGGCGTGACGACGCATATGATCATCTCGTCGCCAGCAAAGTCGCTCATTCTATGAACCCGTTTAGGCACAACATGACTACCAACCCTAAAGAGGACGACAGTGGTGCTAACGAAGGCGTCCGAGGTAGTGACGAAGGGGACGATTATAATAGTCGTGACCTTTTTGATAGGCACGCCAAATGCAATGTCAGGAGGAGATATAAAAAAGGAAACGTGAACACTTTGGAGGAATCGCAAATTGCGCAGGAATGTAACGAAAACTGTGTTACAAAGAAAAAAGAAAAAAAAAAGAAGAAAGAGGAGCCGTCAAAGACCAAAAAAACAATGGCACAAGATGGAAATATTGCACAAGATGAAGATATTGCGCATGGTGATGACACGAACGTGCTCGTCAAATGCAAAATGAAGAAGAAATCGAGTTACATTATTTCGAATTATGAGCTGCGTGCCTGTTCTATGAGGGAAAATGTACCAGGCAGCAAGACACATTTTGTTGCCGCTTGCAAAAAGATGCATCAAACCAAAGAGAACACTAGTAAGAAATCTGCCCTAAAAAACGGCGCCAACCAAAGTAGCAGTAGCTTCAACTCGTCCAGCAATGAAAACTTCGAGCAAGACGAAGTCGAATGTGATAATAAAGCTGTTCGCAGGAAGTCTGCTTGCTTGAAAGAGAACAATAGAAAGAGGACGCATAGCAAACCCCTGCACAGTAACGCTTCTAGCATTAGGAATAGCAGGGGGACGAACAAAGGCAATAGTTATAATAGCCAAAGCCGAAGTAGCAACTCGAACAGTGCCATGAGTGATATAGGCAGCAATAGTGAAGACTTCCCTGATGGCGAAAACCAAAACGTAAAAGCGAAAACAGGAAAGAACAGAAATAGTCATTTTCCTAATAGCGGAAAAATCGAATTAACATTTTGTAGTGGCCAAGAAGAGAGCCAAAGGTATAGACGCGAAAGGGAAACCTTTGGTAACGGAACGGAGAACCGCGACTCCGACGCAGACTCCCACGTTGGGAAACAAAATCGCCCAGTAAATGGAGTCGAAAACGATAGTCACTTCCCAAACAGTGTAGCGAAAAAAAAAAGGCAGAGCAATTTGGCCAAAAGTAAAAACGGAAAACAACAGGATGTCTCAACAGAAGAGGAAAACACCGATTTTGACAATTTAAAGGAAAAGAGAAAAAGGACGAAGAAGTATCCCTCCACGGCTTGTAGTAGCACCCCCACGGATGGAAGTAGCAAATTAGTTTATAACCCAAATGGCAATCAAAGTGCACAGCATGACAGACGCAGCCAAGTAAAAAAGGGAAGCACCCCTCATGGGGATGAACAAATTTGCGCAAATGTGCATCACGAAAGTGAGAACTTCTCTTCCAGCGACGCAAAAGATGTCTCAATGAGGGGGAAAAACGTGTGCACGAGAGACACCAATATACACCGTGCCCACCTCAATGACCCACGCATGAGCTATGCAGACATTTCCATGACAAACTATAGAACGCCCTCGTCGAAAAATAGCATGGATAGCATTGACAACCTTGCTAGTGGAGGCTCCTTAAACAAAAGAAAGGATAGACAATTAATGACCCAAAGTGAAGAAAACTTTGGTGGTGCCCCCAAAGAAATGTACCCCAGCGTGCAATGTGCACCCATGGGGGGTGGAAACATAAACCATATGAACGCACATTTGAAGAACATCGCTTCGGAAAATAACACAAAAGGTATCGCTGCAAGTATGATAAACGCAAGTGAATTTGCACATCAGAGGGTTTATTGCCAAAATGGGGACTACAAAAATTTAATCATGACGGGGGATGTGACTAGTTGTGAGGAGAAAGTACTCCCAATGGAGGAACAGCGAATGGGAAGACATCCAGCGAGAGACAGCATCAAACAGCAGACCTCTCTCTTTTACGAAAAGGATGGGAAGCTGGACGACATCGTTAGACATAGCAATAAAAGCGAACTGTTGTGTAACCCAAAACGCATGCTAAATAGGACCTTGTTGAATGGGGATCCACCTAGTGGACACACCCCCCACAAGGAGCACAGAAGGAAAGAAACACCCAGTCAGGATAACCCATTTAAGCCGACACAGTATTTAGACCATAGGAGAAAAACAGAAAATTATCATAACAGAAGTTGCAACATTTCAAAAGAGGACATCATGTATAACAACATCTATGAGAAAGAGGCCGGAATTTTTTTAAAAAACATTGTACCCAGTCAGTGGAGTGGAGGAGCTGATACTTTCTTAACTGCACATAGAAGCAAAAAGAACGGTGAAGGAGTAAATGTAAGCTTACACACGAATACAAGTATGAATATAAATTACAAACATGAAGATCCGCATACGTACCAAAGTAAAAATGCCTACATGCTTGAGGAACAGATCTTCCCAAGGAAATTCATTCAAGGGAAAAACTATAACAACGCACTTTCTAACAGTCGCTTTAGTAACGAGGACAAGAATGACGAAATATTGCATGAAGAGGGAAAGAGACATTTGTTCTCCTCCAGAGATCAAGAAGTGGACAACATATACAGAAGGGATAGCGTTTCCAATGTGCAAGTGGTGGATAGGGGAGCACCTGCACATCTGAAAAAATCGGTGCAAAGTACTTATCATGTGTATGTAAATAACGCAACACAGGAACAACCCCAACGAATGGGACCCCCGTGTGGTTTCATTTACTACCCAGCGGAGACCCACACTAATGCAAATGGTTATACCCCTCATCCAAATTTCTTCCAAAAAGAAGCCAAAGCAGCGCAGAGGAGCATCGAGAAAAATCCCTTCTCCCTAGATTCACACATAAAAAGTGCAAACATGGATGGGAGAATCATTTTTTACAAAATGGAGGAGCAAGATACCATGAGTGTCACGTCCTCTACGGATAGAGAAAGCCAAAAGAAAGAATACGACGCAAGTAGGATTAAGGTGTTCGATAAAACTCGACGGAGCAATGTTAACAGGGATCAGTCGGATTGGTTTCCCTGTAAAACCGATTTCGAACAAAATGCAAGTGAGCGCAAACGAACGAACAACATGGAGGGGGGAATATGCGCAAAAGGGTCTCATCGCCGTGGGGATCCTAATGATGAACATAGCCAAAGGTACATGCACATGGGAGGGGCTGCCCCCTTCTCAGGCATCTCCCCAAGCAACTGTGAGCGATACAGAAACGGCGTAAACGACATGGACGAACAAAATGGGGATGGTTCATTCTCACGTCATGGGAAAGACACAACCATTCACAGTATTAGAAAAAATAACAACGGCGATAAGAGCGGTGACAACAACGGCAATGATCGCGGCGGTAACAACAGTAGACATTTTGATAAGGGGATTAACCTCCACGTGCGCAATGCACCCAATGAGGCAGATACAAAAGGTGTGCATATGAACAGCCAAGTTGTGTACTCCGAATTGGAAAGCGCAGCCGTCCCAAATGAACTGCTAGGAAAAAATAACGAAAATTGCAACAAACCTTACAGTTCCACGAATAGAATACCGAGACATCGCTTTACCAACAATTTCTCTATCGATTTTGCGAACATTCTGAAAAACTACAAAGATAAATCGAATAATTATCTAAATAAGCAATACATACAGGACTTGGAGAGAATTCATTTTTTAATTCAAGATTTTACAAACAGCTACCGCTGTAGCGATAATTTAAAATCGATTTTTCAACTCCTTCAGTACGAAATTGAAAAGGAGAAAAGGGAGAATCAATATTTTTGTCAAGATCAGAAATATTTAGTTCTTACCATGCCTCTAAATGATATGAAAAAAAATTCTGACAATTTTGGTGAGCCCAGTCTGAAAGAACCCATCTTCGAATATAAGCTGGATGCGTGCCTTTTGGAAAATTTAGAAAATCAGTCGAAGGGTGAGTCCTGTAGTTGGGGAAGGAACCACTTAAGGGAGGATCTAACAAAAGGAAACAATTTAATCAAGAATTGTAGCATGGGGGATGACCTCAACTATGACGACAGCGATTATGATGCTAATGACAAGTGTGTGGAGAAGTGCACTACAGGAAATTGCAGAGGATTATGCATGAGGTCGCCAAGCTGCGTTGCTTCCCCGAATAGCACCACAGACGCCGAAGCGATTGCCACGTCAGTGGTGGTACACGCGTACCGCCACAACGGTGGCGAAAGCAGCAATGGCAACGACAGCGACAGGCAGGTCAGGGCCAACCGTTGCATCAATAACTTGCCCAAGATGGACAAGTTGGGCAAACACTGTATTAGCAAAAAAAGGTGCAGCGGAAGCTTGAACGAAAGTATCTTGTCCAAAATGAACATATTCATAATAAGGCACAATAACCGCGTGTACAAATTTAAGCTAAATAGCAATTTCCCCCTAAGAGGCAACCAATTGAATAACAAAAAAAATGGCAGACTCTTTAAATTACTTACTTCATTTTATAAACCATTTTTCAAGCAAGCATGCAACAAAAGAAATGTTCTGCTTAATGAAGACCTGCCCCTAAGTTATGTCCACAATTTGGATCCCAGCAAGGATAGCCTTTCAAATGATCAAACAGATAATGGGACTGCTAAATCTTCACATATCAATAATGAAGACAACTTTTATAATATTATTCAAAGCAGTGGACTCACAAATATAGACGACCTATTCATTTCGGACGACGAGGTGAATCTTATTTATATGTATAACAATCATCGCAACGAGAAGGTTTATAGTTTAGAAAAATTGGACGCATTGAAAAGTCAAAACTCTACATTGTCCACTCTCGATGATTGTGCTAACACGGGGCAGGAGAATTACTCCTGTAAAAAATTAACAGAATAGGGAACTCATAAAATTAAAGTTGGACTATTTAGACAAACAAGTTCCACCGAGTGTATTACACGTAAGAAGCAACAACGTGCATGCATCCATGGAGGAGCAGCAGCAGCAGGAGGAAATGCCACATGGAAAGCACAACTCGTGGAGAAACCCCCCACATTTGTGTGTGACTTTCCACGGTGGGGTGATTTAACTATTTTTTAGCGTCCATTTGCATTTTTACTTTTTAGTTTTTTTTTTTTTTTTTTTTTTTTTTTTGTGTGTAAAAATGAAATCAGAATTAGAAACATAAAAATTGTACGCGTGCAGTGTGCAGTTGTATTACTCCCGCACATGTGTATGTAAGCCACCGAACGGGCGCCAAAATGCCGTTGTTAATGTGTACTTAATTAAAATCGCTTTTCTAAATTGTGCAAAAAAAAAAAGAAAAAAAAACATTTAAACCATCCTGCACATTTGCAATTTTCTAATTAGAACTAATACCTTTTGAATCTTCCTTTTGTTGTTATTTTGTTTTATTTTTTCTTTTTTCATTTTTCCACTTTGCATTTTTTTGAAAAACTCCTTTTCCACTTGTTTATAGATTAAGAAAGAAATGTTCCAGCGCAGAGATGCCGTTTTCTGCATTATGGCGTCTCGGACAGGTGGGCGGCCTTTGGAGGTGTTACATGGTCGTGTATTCATGCGGCTCTACTGTTCACTTCGTACATAAATAATTACCTCGTTACTTATTTGTTTGTGTTGCAGTTGTCCTCAATGCGCGAGACTTCCCTTTTCATTACTTCAATGGGAAAACCATTCGGGGATAAACAAAAATATCGCGTTAAATAAAGCGCCAGTCGGGTTTCTATTCCTTCGTGTGTGTATTCTTCATAGCAGGGCAGCATTTCATCGGAGGCTTCCACTCTTCCTAATGTGTCTGGCGCAGCCACGCCGCCTTACCCTTTGGATAAAATTACCCGCCCACTGGTCTGCATCACGTTATACGTGTTGAGCTCGTTCATATGCTTGTACCTCTGGTTCAGCAGTGCGGAAAGGTTGCTGTCGCTGATGTTAATTTGTCTTGGGGGGATGAGGGAACAGAAACGAATCTGTTTCTATGAGCATATATATGCATATATACAAACAGGCGTTCGGGGGTGTCCCCTCGGTGGGCATCTTTATTCACAGCACCGTGTAGAGGAACTGGGAGGTATTCCCTCTCACGACTGTTAGCAAATGAACCAATAAATTACAATTCGATGCACAATAAGTGAAGGCAATTTCGCTCACGCGATGCTCGATCTGACTTACTTCAAATTGGGCAACAATACAAAGGAGTAGTTGTCCAGATCTTCGTCAAAATTTGCCAGTGCGTTGCTGCTCACATCAAGCCTGCGTGGGTTTTTTTTAAACAACAAATTGGGCGTGCAAAGGGGAAAAAAAAATATGCATATAAACATATGTATATACATATAAACATATATTATACACATAGAAACATATATTATACACATAGAAACATATATTATACACATAGAAACATATATTATACACATAGAAACATATATTATACACATATAAACATATATACATTTAAAAAGGAAAAGAGCATTGCAACAAACTGGGCACGCTTCCTTCTGTGCATTCTCGAGACACTCACTTCTCCAGTAATTTCAGGTTGTACAAATTCTTCATTAGCACGACGAGGCGCTTTATTTTGTTATGACTCAAATTTAGCTCCCTCAGGTTGTACAAAAAGTTTACTGTACATTTCCCGGTGTACCTACCGTGGGCAAGGCGTAAAGCTCGCATGGGTGAGCGCTCCGACATACATGCATACATAAATGCACACATAGATTCATACATAGATACATACATGCGTACATATTTATGTACACACTGTGCATGGAGCCAAAGCGAGGAGGGCCGAAGGAGCGGGGGCGACTACGGCCCTCTTCTTTTCTTTTTGTTCATACGACTCTGATATGAGATTGTTGGACAGATTAATACTGGGGATAAAAAAGGCTTCAATCATGAGGGGGTAAGTTACGCTGTCAATGTTTAGTCCACTCAGATCCAGCGCCCCGTTGTCACCTATCGAAAAGGGGAACACACGGACGAAAGTTTCTTCTTCACCTTATTTATATTTCAAAATGTGCGCGGAGTGAAAGGATTTTTTGTTTTTTTTTTTTTGCTAAATATGCTTAACCCATTTTGGAATCCTCGTAGTAATCATGTATTTTTTTCCTGCATAGGGTGGGGTGTTAACATGAGGAAGAGTACAAAACGGCACCGTGGTAGAAACAGACAGAAGCGAGGGAATAAACACAAGCATGTGGGAAGAAGAAATTACTGTATCCGCAGCTCCGTCTCCAATTCTTTGTAGTACTCCACCCGGATGCTATCCACTTTCTTTAACAATTCAAGTAGGTGGAAAAGTTCGTCGAACTGTTCCAGCCTTTTTAACATTTCGAACCTGAAATTTTATCGTTTTTGTTTTATTAAATGTTTAGCTGACATGAATGAGTCACTCATATGGGCGTTTACAGAGTGGCAAATCGTCGCTTCTCAACGCTTCTTCCTTTGTCGTTGCACGTCCGTTCTTCCTCACAGGTGAAGTCTCTAAACATTTCAACATACCAGTATAAACGCCACAAAGGGCCTATTAATCTGGCAGCAAATGCATCGGCGCGGCGAACAAATTGCAAACTAAGGGGGAGGGAAGAGCTCTTTTCTTCTTGGCTTACTTGGTAAATAAGGCAAACTTGCAGTTGCTTTCCAAAAGTAGTAATTCATTTATGTTCTCAAGCTCCAAATTTAATGAAGCGAAATTTATGTGCTTGGATGTGTTTAACAATATGTTGGAGCGATTGATATATTTATATAACGGAGTGAATGGGCTAACGCAACTAGACTTGGTGTCCATTTTAGCGTCTATACCCTTATGGCTATCATAATCTAGTAATATTTTGAAATGTTCGTTTTGGGAAAACTTCCGGAAATCGATCAGGTACACAAAGTTGTGCTCATACTTGTCTTCTTCACTTAAAAAGTCATGGCACATCATCAGATCGCGCAGGACATTTTTTTCGTAATGTACCTCCTCTGGTTTGTAAAGATTATACTTATAATAAAATATACAAAATTTTAAATAAGTAGGTTGGCCACTCAAAAGGATATCCTTATCGGTGGGTTTGAAACAATATACGTAGGATTCGAAACTGTCGTGTGGGTTGTTGAGAGCTACCAAATGTTGGCCCCACTCTCCAGTTACCTCCCTTCCATTATCATCGTAACACTTTGATTTGGCTAGATTAGCCTTAACCAAGTTTTGAAAAAAAAAATAAATGCAATTATTCTGCAACAGAGTGAAAAATATTTCCTCCTTGTCATTACCCTTTTGAAAAAGAAACCATCTATAAAATTCCCACAAACTTTGATCAAACGGATCCGTGAAAATTGCATTTTTTATCAGATCTAACTCGTTTTCGGTGCAGATTAGGGATTCACGTATGGTGTATTTAAGAAGCCAAGCGGAGAAATTGGAAAAATTTCTTTCAATCAATGTTTTCGACAGCTCGTAATTGGACTCATGGACGTCAAATTGGTTGCCAAGTTCTGCGGGGGCGGGGTCATGTACGTCAGTACTGCCTTTCCCATTTTGAGCTTCCCCGCTGTGACACTTCCCATTATTACCCCTCTTCACACATATATGCACACACGCGATGATGTAGGATCGGTAATTCCAACAGTGGTAGTTCCTATCATCTTTGTAGAAGGCGACTTTACAAAATTCTAACTCATTCATCAGGTCAGAAAAGTCCATTAAATCATTTTTTAGACAAAATTTTATTATCCACAATTTGTGAAACCATAATTCGCTGCACTTGTTAAATTTGCTCAAAATTTCTTCAACCATTGTGTTTTCATTTTTCATCAAAATTTTTAGCTGCTCCGGGGGGAGATGCTTCGGGCAATCCGCTTCTTCATCGCCTATAAAAAGGGTAAAAATGCCCTCAAAGAGAAGCGTTTCATAATGTATTTTTTTCCTTAGTACTATTAATAACTAGGTTCATACGACATGCTACAAACATGTGTCGTTACAGTGGTGAAAAGATTCACCCCCCTTTCTCATTTGACGATGCCTTCCACACACTCGTGTGCACCCTCGGACTGGGAATTCCTATCCCCGTTTCTCTTTCTGTCTCTTACAATGTGTAGCACGTATACCACACAAGGGGTGCCGTTTCATATGAGCTCCCCTTTTGTATGCCTTTTCTAACCTTTCCCCACTTCGCCAACCGGTGGCCCGGCATTTTGCACAGACTCAAAATATTCCCTCCTGAAATTCCACAAAGTCTGTAGATAAGGACACCTCCTCAAAATGACGGATGTCGTCTCGATGTATTCTTTATCATAGCTTTTTTCATTCTTCTTTTTTATCAAATGGTTCACAAGGGGAATGAATTCTTTGACCCTTTCTAGCTTGGCTTTCTCATCTTTGGAGCTGCTGGCTCTCCGTCCATGCATTTTCCAATTATGCTATATTATCTGTTCCAGGTTATACGTTATTTGTTATACGTTATTTTCTATACGTTATTTGTAATACTTCATTTGTTATACGTTATTTGTAATACTTTATTTGTTATACGTTATTTGTAATACTTTATTTGTTATACATTATTCCTTATTCGTTATTCCTTTTTTCTTATTTCTTATTTGTTATTATATATACATTTTTTATCTTTTCTTTTCTTCCTCCCCCGATCGATGACAAAAGTTGCACAACTATGTCAAACGAGGTTAATATTTTTTACATCAAAAAGGGGCAGAGATTTGCGGAAGGGTGAACAGCACACTCCTATACGATGCCCTTTGGTGATAATCATGATTAAATTCCAACACCTGGCTTCCACCACTTGGGTTCCTCTAATTTTGGAGAGAACTGAACGGAATTACATATACCATTGGAACTTTTGAGAAGATAGGCAGATTGATGCGGAAAGGAGGGCCAGAGGAAGCGCAAGCGACCTGCCGTTGTATTAATATATTCTACTCAGTAAAATTGTCGATGCCGCCTCGTCACGGCTACATAAACCCAATAAACAAACGTAACCCTTTTTGTAGGATACAAATTAAAGCTCAAACAACCCTTCTTAGGAACAACCCCCTCAAAAAAAAGGCGTGTGTTGAATTCCTGCCTTTTTAAATCCTTTCCCCCATACACATCTGTAGCCTTTAGTGAAATACTTACTGAACTTCTGAAGTGTCGCGCAAAAGGAGAAAAAGAATACGTTGCAACAATTCTTCACCGTTAAGGATTCAGCGACCCAAAAATGGTTAGTTTTTTCTTTTCTTTCTTTTTTTAAAAATGTGATGATTAGAAACTAAACAAAAATGTACACATTTATCGCATACAAATACTTAAAATGGAAGGAAATTTTTTTGTTACTGCCACTTCACCACTGCGTTTCTTTTAATATATGCGTAGAGAGCATGAATCCTGATGCTTCTTTCCCCCCTACTAAATTATTTCATGACGCAAAAAAGTTTGTCGAATAGGCATCTACATGACGAAACGGAAATATTATCTGTACATGCACACAGATGAAGGATAAGAGCAGCAAGAAGTGTGCTTATTCTACTGCGATTTTTTACAACACCCGACGTTACATATACACGTACGGACACGTTACACGTTCACACAATTGGGGTTTCCGCCCAAGTCGCTCGACACCTACGGACTAGCCATTTCGAATGGCGCGAAGATAGCGTTCTTCCAAATATGAGCATCAAAAAATTGCAATTTTGAGAACGTCCCCTTTTTGCCACTTAGCTGCCTTTTTTTCATTCATTTTTTCGATAATTATAATGCAAGGTAGGTTAATGTGTGTAACCCAGATTTTGCGCAACGCCTTTTTTTGCAACCCTGATTTTGTGCTACAAAGAGGGGTGTTCAATTTTACCGCATACTTTTCCAAAATATGTTTACATAATTGTTACCTACAATTTTTAAAATATTTACAAAGGGGGAATAATGAACCCTGTGTAAGCCTCTATTTTAAAGCAATTTAAAGACAAAAGGAAGCAACTTCATGAGGCCAACTATGCTATGGTTATTTTTACCCACCAATTTTTACATACGAAGTTGCGTGGAAAATAGTTTCTTTTAAATCACGCATAAACGGTCTCTCATAGCCTTAATGCGGATAGCTACGAAAAAAAAAGGAGTATATTAAAAGGAGTAAATATGCACATATCCATATATATACATATGTGAGTATTTATTCGCTCGCGCGATGAGGTGTGTCCCTCTGGATTTAACGAAAGGAAAAGGGTCTGTGCACGGATAGATCTACCTCTTCTTCATTTTTTCAACCGTAAGCAAATTTACAGGCTTAATGCAGACGCATATGAACAAGCTAGGTAAAGTGAAAAAGTGTAGAAATAACTCCATACCCACGAGTGACACCTTTCGTTTGTGTATACATTTTCCTTTTTCTCATATAATGACAACATGGCGAACACGTAAGGGGTAAACGAAAGAAGCAATTTGGCTAGGATGGAAATAACGTCTTGTAACAAAAAAAAAAAAAAAAAAAAAAAAAAAAAAAAAAAAAAAAAAAAAAAAAAAAAAAAAAAAAAAAAGTATAAACAGATTAATGTTAACAAAATTTGCTTAAAAAAATGACACGAATTGGTAGAAGCAGGATGTCCCTCTTGCAACCACGTTGTTAAGACTGCCACGAAAGAATAACGGGTAAGGGTAACAGCCTCCCATTTTGTCTTCTGCTAATTTGCGTTCACTTGTACTAGAAGGAAAACACAAGTGGGACTTTGGAAATTTTATAGCCATTCCATCAGGTGAGTAAAAGGTGGATAATTTCTGTGCTCTTAGAAGCAGGCGGAAGATGGGAATCTTACACGAAAAGTAAGAAAAGAAACTTACATCTCAAACAAGTAGGAGAAGCCAAAGTGAGCGTGAAAAATTCAAATTGGTTAAACCGCCATTTTTCTTCCCTTCTTCATTATTTTTTCCTCCCTGATTGCATTCCACACAAATTGCCTGGGCATAATACAACATCACTATTTCATATAAATTGCAAATTCTACTAAAAATGTCTTACAGGACAGCTTAGTTTTTAGTCATTCTTTTCCTAACCAATAACACATGCATTGGTTGCCTACTTGGTGTGCTTCCCGTCCTACACACGGCAACATTTCCTCTTATGAAAAACTGGGAATGATGGGAAAATATTTTTTATATACTTCCTGTGTAGGTAATTTCTTTAATGTACCAACTAGCTAACTCCTTTTCTACATTCCGTTTGCTTTTCGGTGGACATAAAGCTGCTTATGTTTTCAGATTTACACCTGAAGGGTATGCTCTGTTTTGCATATGTTTATGCGAACACGGCCGGTAGGCTTGTGGCGCACGTTGTGATTTAAAAAGAGGTTGTCCCGTTGCGAAAGGGAAGGAAACAAATTAAAGGAAAAAAAGGAAAGAAAAGAAAGGAAAGAAAACAAAACAAAAGAAAAGAAGAGGAAAAAAACCATAAACATAAGCAGAAGTATATATATGTACATATCTGTGTACTTGTTTATATATCCATGTGTACACACGTGAGCGCGTCTTCTAAGAACCACGAGGGGGGCACATCCGATGCGCTTAAACATGTAGTGGGTTAAATAAGGAAGGGAATATTCACATTCTCCGATTCTATAAAGCGAAAGGTGGAAATATAGGCCTAGACGAAAATACAACTGTAGAGGAAAAAGTAAACAGCTAAACGTGTTTACAGACCAAAGTGGCTGCTGACCTTTATCAAGAAGAAACAAAAAAAAGTTGTCCGCGTGTCCATTACTACGTTCACTTTTTTTTACCTTAAAAATGAACTTGTTAATGGTGTTAACTACCTTTAGCCTTTTGCCCCTGGCATTTGGCAAAAGTTATAGTACAAAGTATTTAGGTAAGGAAAAAAAAAAAAAAAACATGCCCCTAAGTTGTGCATCTATGCAACCATTTCTTGTACGTATGAGTGTATAAATATACTGAGGCAAACGCATTTTCCGCTCCTCTAGGAACATGCCGCAGCGGAAGTTTCAAAATAGACCTTTTTCGCCATAAAACCAAACGCTGAGCCTCACGTGCTTGCTCATAAAACCGCTACACGCAGTTGTCTACATGCATTATTCTTTCAACTGAAATTTCATCATTCCTTCTGAAAATGCTTTCCTAAGATTGAGCAAGTGTACTTTCCAATGAATCATGAGTATGTACTGACCACACACACACCGCTTCTAACCAATATACAGGCGAGCTTTTTTTTTCTTCTTTTTACCTGTGCATCCTGCGTGGGGATAAATGTTCGCCGTAACACTAGTGTATAACCAACTTGTGAAACTACCTTCCCCCTCCCACTTTCCCATTTTACCAATTCAGGGGAAGACAGCTATTTATTTGAGGACTACTGCGTCGATATGAACATTCACGTCCTGGTGAGTGCAGAAACTATGCCTAGTAACAGGTATATTTATTTGCTAGGTCGCAGAATTGCAAGCATGGCGTTTTCTCTAGTGAATAGTTGGAATTATTTTGCATATTCCTTTTTTGATGATAAGATTTTGTATACAAATATGAGACGAATGCAATTTGGATTTGACATGATGGAAACATTAACGACTTTTCAGGAAGAACACGGACGTTATGCAGTTACAAAACATGGACACTCAAATGTATTTGGATCTTTGAAGGAATATTACGAAAAGTATATATTAAATAACCCCAAGATGCACCATGCGAAAAATGTTCTAATTATTTCTAAATTTTTTGGAGATATGGAACCCTCAGAATATCCTGATGAATTCATAAATTACATAAGAGACATTAGAAGTAAAGATTTGGGCATTTTTTTCTTCTCAGACAGTTCTGAGGAATCCAAGAGGATCACCTTTCTGATCTCTGAAATGAGTTATCATAGATCTTCCCACATTCCTTTAGCATATTTTTTTACTGACAAAATTGATAGTCACGCTAGAATCAGTGTAAAAAGATTTTGCTATGCTTTGGAATATGGTGCAACTTGTGCGAGGTATAACGATTGGTCTGATTGGAGTGGGCCTTGTGAATTTAGGAAAAGACAGAGAACCATTCCCAAAAAAGTTACCCTTGAACCTTATATCATTAATCGTGATTACTACACTGCTCATTGTAGAAGCCTTTTCAACTATGAATTAATAATCAGAGAAGATTACAGAAGCGAATGTACTAACGAAATATACAACTGCAGAGGTATCTGTGATAAAGGATATATGTTCAAACCAGAAGTTATAGCGTACGAAATCTTAGAAAAGTATGTCCCATGTAATGATTTGCCAATTTGCTCAGCTAAGCAAAGAAAAAAAAATCACCATAAAACTTATGAACAATTACTAGAAATGCTCAAGAATTATGCAGACGAGCTCCGTACAGAAGAAGTCAAAGAACGGAAGGAAATGAACAGACCATACGAAGGTGAAATTGGCGAAGAGGGTGCTCAGCCACGAATGGTGAGGGAGGCAAATGCTCAACTAAAAGAAAAGACAGACTCAATGATAGAAAGACAGCACCTTCTTATTAAAAATCACAAGCTCCTGCTTCAGCATATCGAACAGGGCGATAATGTAAATGTCATCGACAATTTTGGAAACTTCACTGTGAGGAGACCCGGTAAGAATACACACGATGTGAAGGTAGATGGAAGGGTTGACGCACCTTTTAATGCTGCCACTGTAGGTGCGGATACTGCCAATAAGAAAAATGGGGAGGATCAAAGTGGGAGTACTCCCGTCGAAACTGCAAATGAGGGAACCGCGGATGAAGAACACCAAGACGAAAGCACAAATGTTGGGATAGAAGACTCAGACACTGCAGGAAAAACTCATGAGAAGAAGCTGGCGGAAGGTGAAAAAATGGCGGATGGAAAAGAGGGTGACGAAAATGCTAAAGAACGCACTAACCAGGGAAGTAGTCTCAATACTGAGGAGGCCAAAAATATACTTGATGCAGAAGAACAAGGGGAAGAGAAAATGGAACAGGAAATTATTAAAGACAACAATCTTGACAAACCAGATGAAATCACAAAGGTGGATACGATTGATACTGTGGCAACAGATGGAACTGCGAAAATTGATTCACCGAGTTCGACAAATGGGAGCAATTTTCCTAATGTGGAAGCTGGAGAATATTCAAATAATCAACCAATAATCCCAGAAGAAAATGACAAGACAAAATCTCAAATTGTTCATAGTAAAGATGACGTTGTAAATTCAGATCATTATGTCACATCCGAGAACGCTGGTGATGCAATAAATAGTGGACCTAGAGCAGATGCATCGCAGGGACATTCTTCAGCTTATCATAATAATTCACCTGTTTATAAAAGAACGCATGATGGTAGGGACGAATTGACTGATAAGCATCAGAAAGAATTGTATAAGGAGAGTGATGCACCGAAAGGGGAGAGCGAAAGCGAAAGCGGTCGTGATGGTCAAGGTGGAGAAGATAAAATAACTCATGTGAACAAAGGGGTGGAAGAAGCAGGAACTGAGCGTACCGATCCACCAAAGGAACATGCACACAGAGAAATAACTCAACATGGTCGTGTTGAAGATGAGGCTAAAGTCAAAGAAAGCGACAACCAACAGAGGAGGGAACAGACGAAAGAACACGCGTATGAAGACACGAACGAACAAGCGAATCAAATCGGGAGTGACACCGATGAAGCTACGACACGAACTCATCAAGTAGGAGTAACTGCAGTAACTGCAGAACAGGGAAGAGAAAAAGGGGAAGATAACGTGACATATGTTGGACAAAAACGAAATATAAATGGTGAGGAAGTGGTAGAGGGACAGTTACAACATACACAGACTAAAGAGGTAGGATTAAATAGGCAACTGGGAAATAAACATGGAGAAGAAGATAAAAGTGCGAATCATGACATATTACTAAGAGACTTTCTAATTATGAACCACGTTCCGGATGGCTCCAAAAAACAATATGAACTGCCAGATGTGGAAAGTGAGAAAAAAGAATCAACATATCACACAACAGAGATGCATAGTGAGAACCATGGACGAGTTAGTGGACATAATAAACAAACACATGATACGACTGGAGGAATAGAAACAACTACGCAATCCCATGCCGTGCACGAAATGAAGGGAAAATGGGATAAGAGTAACCATTTGGTTGAATCCACCATTCCAGATGAAACAAAAACAGAGGAACATCAAACAGAAAGTGATAGTACAGATGGGCATATTTTACAAGGAGAAAGCATAAGCGCAGATCCTTTGCACAACAAAGGAGATAGTCAACAGCAATTTCAGGGAGAAGAACAAAGCGAACAAGAAAGTGAGGGAAAAAAAAGGGAAGAAGAAGATGCCAATTCTTCCAACGTATCCGAGAATCACGTCCTTACAACGGAAGATCAAACGGATGACCAGGAAACCAAAGAAACGAGTCACATATCGACTAAATCAATTAGCGAGCATAGAAGTCTTGAAGAAGGCAATGAAGAGAAACAATTTATGCGTGTTCAGACAGGCAAAGAGCATTTAGTCATTGAAAATGATGGGGAAAGTAACAAAATATCAGGTGAATCTACAGGGGGGGAAATAATATCAGGTGATGATATGAACAAAGTAAAAGTATCCCAGGAGGACATAAATGAACATCAGGCAGCCTATAAAAACATAAGGGAACATGTAGGACAAACTGATATGAGCGATATTCACAAAGCAGATAAGAAAGATGCAGAAAATATTGTGGAAGATAGTAATGCGAATGATCCCGAAGAATTAGAAGAGACCCTGAGAGAAAACAGCTTAATAAGACATAACTTTGGAGAACATCCGGACGCACATGATGCTGAAAAGGCAGATGAACTGTCAAGCGAAAGGGAACAGGAAAGGAAAATAGCGGGGGGACATATTCAAGGAGAAGCATTATCTGGTAATCACGCGACACATAGTCAGGCAAAAGAAAAAATTGAGGAAGAACCTAGAACATCCAACGAACATGTGACAGAGGAATTGACGGCAGGTCATGTTCAGACCGAACAAGAAGTACAGGAAGCAGAAAAGGGACACAGTACACAGGATCAAACAATTGTCCGTAGAACAGTATTAGGGGAATCACCCAAAAGTGACCATTTGGCAGATGAAACAGAGAGCAGAAACGAGTTAACCCGGGAATTTGTTCCAACACACGTAATAGCAGGCGATCAAATGAAGGGGAATAATCTAGTGGATGGAATTGTGGGAGAACATTCAGACGCAGTTGAAGGAGATGCAGTGGAAGAGGAAGGTGCGAGTGAACGTGAATTCGTGGGTGAAATTACAGATGAACATAAAGCTAAGGATGAAAGTAAGGATGAAGCCGTAGATGGAAGAGCAAATGTCGCTGAAGGCACAGATGTGGGTGCGCATACAGAAATAGGCCAACACAAAGAGATGCGTGAAACTAAGCGGGGAAGTAACGATATAGGTGATAATAATGTGGGTGATATGACTGATGTGGGTGATATGACTGATGTGGGTGATATGACTGATGTGGGTGATACCACTGATGTAGGCAAGCACCAAGAAACAGGTGAAAGGGAAGAACTAGCAGAAGTTAAAGGACACCATATGGAGATAGTTGGTGTTAAAAATGAAGGTAAAAACGAAGCAGTGGACGAAAGTGAAAGTAACGATGTAGGCGAACATAAAGAAATAGGTGAAAGCATGAATGTAGTTCAAAGTGATGATGATGGTGAACCTAAAGTCAATTATGAGAGTCCAGATGAAACTGAAGCCACTAGTAGTAAACATGACGGAATTATAGAAAGTAGGGAAATAGACGAACGTACAGATGTGGCTGAGCAAATGGATCTAGGTGATCATACAGAAATGGGCGAACATAAGGAAGCAGGAGAGCGTAAGGAATCAGGAGAACGTAAAGATGCGGGAGAACATATAGAAATGGGCCAACATGGCAAAGCCGGAGAATATGGCGAATCAGCTGAAGTTGAAGGCGTCAAAAGTGAACACATACAAGGAAGCACGGAAGGTGACACCAAAAAAGGTAAACCAATCGATGCATCACGTGAGAACAAAACAATGGAGGAAGGAGAAAGTTCTGAGATAAAACAGAAGCTAAATGAAGATAGAGTGAACCCCATTGATGAGACAGTGGAAGGACGGGCAAAGAAAGAAGAACTGGAAGGTGCTATTACACATTCTGAACATAACGAAAAGGGGGAAGTGACTCCAAAGGAATATGAAGGAGTAAACACCTTAGATCGAAATGGTGAAAATGAACAAAAAGTGGAAAACAAACATGAACAAAATTTAGATTATAGAATAGATGATAAGAAAAAGACAAGTATACCACCGCATGCACAAACTGATGTGAATAAAGAAATACATGGCCAGGTGAAGGAAAAGGTAAAAGAGACATCCACAACAAATAGCAAAAACGAACCAACTGGTGAAGTTTCGAGTAGAACCAATGTAGACACAGATTCCATAATTACACAACAAAAAACGAGCGTATTGCCAGAAGACGAATCGAAAAAAATTGAATCAAAGAAAGAAAAAGCTGACGTAAAAAATATAAATGAAATAATTGATAATGTAGTAAATACATATGATAGTAAAAAAATGAATAGTGAAAAACAAGATTATATTAAGGAAAAATTAGACATCCTTGAAGATTTTGTAGAAAGCACCAAACAAGTGGAAGGAGGAAAAAATGACAACCCATACAAATACTACTCAGATATGAAGAGTGTCCATAAGCTATTTTATAAAAAAGATTCCAACGGGAAATTAGAAAAAGACAAATATCTGATTGTTGGGCAGGATAATTTTATCATAGATTCGGATGATACCAAAACCCCCTTTCCGAAAAATATGTCCAGAAGGGTTAGTGAACTCCTGGAAGAACAGATTCAAAAGGACGTAACGAACACGTTGAATGAGGATGAGAAGGCGAGAAAGGAAGCCACCGAGGGGGGAGAAAACGGGGATGAAAATAATAACACAGATGAAAACAGAAGTGGGAACGAAGGTGGAGACGAAAACGCCAGTCAAGACAGACGCAGCGAAAGCGGAGCCCACAACAGCAGAACATTCAAGTACGGAAGCATAACCGTCTTCGCTGGTGCAGCTTTAATTCTTTTTTCCATGTATATTTACAAACATGCACACAACTACGGGCGTGCGGAAAAGGACAACGCGAATAACATCGAATACCAGTTTGCAGCCGAAGTTGCGATGAACGAAGATAAAGGCCAAGACATAGCATGCGGACAAAATGGCTACATTGAGGAAGGCTGGTCGTAGGGTGGAACGCACACACAAGCACATGTATGTGCATATATGCTGCAGCCATCACCGAAATAGCGCTATGTCTAGAAAGTCGAAGCTACAATTTTAAGGCGCAAGAGGGGAAGCACCATTCCCCTTCCCAGGGGGAGAAACTAATGTTGCTGGAGATGAGCACAACGCGTAGTTCACGCAATTCGAGCAATTCACACTGTGACGAAATTATAAGCGGATACAGAAAACGCATATGGGAGAAGAAAGAAAAGTCAGGCAAGGCTTGGCAACACTTGTCAGAGCTTGGCAATATGTGGCAACACTTTCATATATTTTCTTCTAACGTAACCTGGTGTGTATCCTGAACGTTTGAATTGAGAACATTCTGCTTATTGGCAGTCCTCGAAGATTCTTACAAAGCAGAGTGATTGCTCCAGCAATGCTTGCTTCGCATGAACAAACGAACATTCATCCTTGTGTAAAATCTTGCATATGTCTATACATGCATACACATTTATTTAATGACACATTCATCTATTTCGTGAGCGTCCTTTTTTTTTTCTTTTTAACTCCCAAATAAGGCAAACAGTAGCAAAGAACGAAATTGCGCATTCGTCCATTCCATGTTCGGCCATCATCGCCAAGGGATAATGCAGTAACTTAAACAGAAAATGTTATTTTAAAGTGTCCCCGCTTTTTTTTTGTTCGAAAATCCCTTCTTTATAATTATCCGTAAGTACCATCTGGTGTTATATAGGCCACATAAGACTATTCTCCACTTCAGCGTAGGTGTAAATCGAGTGTTTTTTTTTTTCCTTCTTTTTTGTGTCCAAATGTGTATATTAAGTGCATAAGAAAAAGCATGCGCGTGTGTATACAGGAAACTTTTCTCTATAATATTTTCGCATACTTACACTGTGCTGTTATATTTACGATTTTGTTTTCTCTACGGAAGGGCAGCCATTACACGTAAAAATTGCCCATGCTGTAACGAGCGCCTAAAAAAGCGTGTGCCGCACTTTTTTTTTTTTTTTGTATGGCTAAATTCTCCAATTAAACAGCTCACATGGGCCCTAATTGATGATAAATTCCAATTGAAAAATTTTACTTAAAATGGTTTATGATTAATCTGGGTAAAGTTCAATAAAACATTCGTGCAGCGGCAAAATTACGCATGACTAAATGCAAAGTTCTCTTTGCAACTAGGGCATCGACATGAGATTTAAAGCGGCGCATTCGTGTATGCAATACGCTAAGGGGAAAGCAAATTACAAAAAGGAATGCGAATTGAGGAACGACAGGCTTGTAAATCTCAGGGCATAGTTAAAATTGGGTCAGCCAAGTGCAAATTTAATGTGTGCGAGGCGAGTTATCTCAAAAGTAAAAAAAAAGAAGTAAAAGACTGAAAAGAAAAACATATATATATATATGTAATACTAATGAATAAGAAAAAGAGAACTTCAAAAAGACAGAACAAGAACTAAGGAAAATCAAACGCAAAAGGGCGAAACTAACCAATCGTCCCTGTAACATTGTTGTAATCCCTTTGAGCTAGTTTAGCACCTGTCCATACACACACTCATGTAACATGCTCATACAGAAATTCTTTTCGCTCGTTCCAGCGGAAGACAAAAACTTGGAAAAGTAGGCAACACGCTCCAAATGCGCGGATACATATACAAACAGTCATTCCCACAAATTCCGCGTAGCTAATGCATTAACGTGTAAACTGTCCACAAAGAGGGGGTACACAATTTTGTGCAATGATTCACCTGCTGAGTCTGCAAACCTGCACTCAAAATATGATGCGTGTGTGTATTCCCCCCCCCTGTATTTTTTTTATAGCCTAGTAAATGAGCTAGCTCAATCTAAAAAGAACATCAGGAGAATACAAAATTATGGAGCAAAGGAAAGAAGCGCGGACAGGTCCATTCATAAGGATGATGTCAACCAAAAGGTAGAAAAGTTAACTATCACATCAGTTGGTTCCAGGCGAAATGCAAGCGAGAAAGACAAATGGTGCAGCTTTAGGCAGAAGAAGAACAATGCCGGGAATGGTTCGCCCAGCTTGTCCCAAAAATATAAAAAAACTACATTCGATTCGAGTAAAGTTATTAAGACAATTAAATGGGACCCCCCCACCAGCGCTAAATTCGATTTGTCCAGCATCAAAGAAAATGAACTGTTTCAAAGAATTTTTAAAACGGTTGAAAGAGAAAATATAAGAAGTAAGAATGATAAATTAAAAAGCAAAAGTGAAAAACTGAAACATTTGAAAAACAATGTAGGAAACCAAAATGAACATGTAAAAAGCAAAGATGTAAACGAAGGAAATAGAGACCAACTAACAGAATTAATAGGCCAATTTAGGAAAGTTCTGAGTGATAAGAAGAAGACATATGCCACTTTGAAAATCAGGACTAGAAGTTTTGGCAACGAACACTCGTCCGTTTCCCCCTTTCCCGACAACGCCATCGAGTGCTATAACATGCACTACCGTTGTAAAGGTGACACTATTAAAAACGGTTTATGGGGCGAAGTTAATGAGAAAACCGAAGAAAGGAAGAAAAGAAACGACCATAGGAAAACGCAAAGGATAGAACCCGCCTACCAAAATGGCCAAGACAGAATGGCAAAAGGGACAACCCACAGGAGTAGCCACAACCAGAAAGGATGCTCCTCCAGCAGGATTAATCAAAATGACTTAATAAATGAAGAACCAGGAAATACTCCCCATTATTTCACTAAACGGAGTAATGCACCCCCACAGAAGGGGAACCGAAATGAAAGCACGTACCGCCAAATTGAAAACCCATCCATTATGGGAGAGGAAACTTCACTGAAAGGCAGAAAATTGCCACCCAAATGGGAGGAAAAAAGCAGTCGTAGTAGCAGCACAGACAATAAATCACAAGGTCAATATTACATACGCTCCTGTAGCAGCAATTCTTCTGTGCCTAGTAATAATTACAAAAAATGTAAAAACAGTCTGAGAGATGCTGAGCAAAGGGACAACATGTGCGAACAAGTCAATGACGACAGAAAAGGTCTAACACTCGGGATAACAAATTGTGTAATCATAAAAATAAACGAAGTCACATCCTTAGATACATTTTTCGAAATGCGTATACACCCCCCAGAAGGGCATCAAAATACAAGTCACTCCATCGAAGACTTCATTTAATTGATGATACAATGGGAGGACACAATTTCCCCAAATGTGACAACTCATGCGGTAAGAAATTCCAATTATTAGTGGTAAAAAAAAAGAGGAAAAAAATAAACATGACAATTTTTTCCAAAACAAAGATAGAAAAGCACATGCATGCAACAAGTGAAGGAATTCATACACTCGAAGAGAAGTCTCCTAACTCCCCAAGTGAATATGCCAACAGCGTAAAGGGGGACTGTCATAGCTACTCACCAATTAGGTCCATTGAACACACCAGAGAAGAATCAGACGGTTGCAAAGGTAATCAATTTTACCACGACATGGTTACATCGTGTGAGAGCGATTTGAAGAATCACGAAGGTAATTCCAATAATGAGCGTGAAAAGAACTCAAGCCACTTTAAAGGAAACAACAAAAGTGGCCTCGCTGAACAAGGCTTGCATAAAATGAGCGATTATGCAATATTCCCCCATAATAATAGTGACACATACAGGGATATATTAACCACAAATGGCAAAAGAGGTGATGAAATGCACAAAATGGGAGCCGAAGTGTGTGCCCCTAAAGGTCAAGACAAAGGACAAAACACATGTGTAGACTCTGAAAGGTGGAAAAAGACAGGGGAAAGTAGAACAAAAATACGAGATGGAAAAATTGAAAAAGAACGGACTTCATTTAATTGTGCACCAAAGAAAGAAGCAAACTTAAACAACTCGAACGGCGAAATTGTGGATATGTTAAGCCATGCAACGGGAAAAACAATAAGCAAAAGCAGAACCACAAGTAACACGCCCTGTGAAAGAGCCCTTGGTGGAGACGTCGATGAACCAAGTGAAAAGTTAAGAATAGAGAATATTTCCATTATGGGCCATAGCATAATAGCAGAAAGAGGGACAGATAATCTTTGGAAGGACTCCAATCGAGTTATGCTAAATAGAAAAGGGCCAGAATTGCCACATAAGGGGGAAAACATAGAGCTTGGAAAGCAGCGCAAAAAAGGAAATGGAAATTGCATTCCTCCTGATCTCCCTGATGACACTCACGGCGATGTGCACATTGATGAACAAGGCAACAACTGGGGAAAGAAAGATATTGTGCAAGAAATACTATCCTTCTACACTCGATATAAAAATAAACTGAACTTTCTCCTGAAGGAGGAATATAATTATTTATGCAGGCTAAGGGACCACGTTAGAAAAAATGCTCAAGAATCAGAAGAAGTGAAGAAAGGTGATTCAGCCGAGGGCACTTCCAGATATCAATGTTGCGAAGGAGACAACGTTTTAATTAACGAACTTGTGCACCACATAAATGACGGCATATCGGGAAAAAATAAGTTACACAATTCGTGCGATGAGGGAGACGTTTCAACAAATCAGAGTAAAAAATGCCATTGCAGAAAAGGAGAAGAGAATTTTATTTATCATCTATATAATGACGACGCAGATGTTCACCAAATTTGTGTTCAAACAGACAAAAGGATCGAGCGAATTGAATATTATCTAAATCAAAGTGAGAAAAAATGTTTAAGAAAAAACAATAGCATCACTAAGAGAGAAGCTGCTCCTCTGTTTTGGAAAATTTCATCAAGCGATCGTTCCTCAAATAAGAGCGAACCTCTTTGCAAAGACAGCTCGGTAGGAAGTAACCAACGTGATTCTCCTTTTCGAGGTACAGACATGACCAATCTACGTAATGGGGGGGAAGAAATGAACCATATGAAGATAACAAAAAGAAATCCCCCTTCTTTCAATGGCTCAACAATGACAAAGCGAACGCACAAAGATGCTTGGATTCGTAGAAAAATGAATAAAAAAGTACCTGTGCGAAAAAATGGAAGTTTCAAAAAAGACCATTGTTCAAAAACACATTTTAAATACGAGCTGCTCTACAGAATTAAGATATCTAAATATCTCCTACACAACTGGAGAAAAATGGGAGGAACTTATAGCGCCACTTCAAATTATCTCTTAAGGGGCTTAAAATGTGCAGCCGCAAATGGATCTCACCTTTATGATAAAAGTGAATTCCACTTTAAAGGGTCCCTTTGTCTTTTCAATTACAAACCATTTTTGCACCACTTCAAAGCTAAAACCATTTATTGCTACATTCTGTGTGCGAAAGCAAGAGGCATTTTTCGTAAAAGACTTAGCACTTCTCCAAATCGAGCAAGAGACCCAAATTATGAACATGCACAAAAACCTGATCAGAGACAATGCAGCAATTATTTAAATTGTACAGATGGGTACCTAGTCGGGAAAAACAATAAGACATATCGGAATGTCCCAATGGATAGGGAAAATAAAGAGAGAAAAATATTCACTATTCCTACCCCAATTTGTGAACACAATTTTCTTGGAACAAGAATGAACTCAAACTTTAGCCACATCATTTGTAGCCCTTTCTCTGGAGGGGAATCGTTTACCTATGCGGATTTTACTACAAGTGTGATGAAACACTCTATTAATAGTATCCCCTGCAATGGAGAGAAATACATCACTAAGAAAGAGGGTGATCATTTCGCTTCGACCAATTTCAAGTGGAATCAGAAAAGCACCCCCGATTTGTGTGGCACTATGTGGAGAGGAGAACGAGACACAGAAGAAGGAGTCACAGGTGAGAGTTCTACTCACCGAATGGGTAACTCCATGTGGGCTACTCCAACATCAACATATATTACACAAAGGGGGGGAAAAAACACCCCCCTTAAAAATGATACCCCCACGAGTAGCCCACTGCATCACGTGAACATAAATTTGAACACAGGGAATGTTTGTCACGGAAGTCCTAATTTGTTAAGTGATAAGGACAAATGCGAACAATTGTATGATAATACTGCAGGAAGAAAAGGATGCATGCAGTCCGCTAACTCGATAAAATCGTTGGGCATTCAAAACGATTCTACTTTAAATAGTAAACTTATATATGAACAAAATTACCCGTCTGAAGAACACCTCACAAGAATAAGTCACCACCTAGGAGGTTCAAAAAAGGAGAATTTTGCTTCACCAAATGAAAACAATTATCTTACAAATTCGATGACTTTAGAACAGTTCAGCGCGCATTTTAACGTGAGTGATAAGTATAAAACCGGGGGGGGGCATTCAGAATGGTTGATCTTCCCAAACGGCGGACGCATGGCGGAGTATCCCGCACGAAGCGAATGTTACATCAATGTTTACGAAAATAATTGTGATCCGAATTACACCTTGGGGAAAAGCAAAAATATGTACCAGCTAAACTGCTCATACGACAGAATTGTCAATTCCCTGTGCACAAGCAGAGGAAAGATTACACAAGAAAATGTTGGAAGAAACAAGAATTACAAAAAAGAGGGAAATTACAAAAAAGAGGCAAGAGAAAAAGAAAAGGAAAATTACAAAAAAGAGGAAAGATACAAAGAAAGGGAAAAATACAAAAAGCAGTCCAATGTAATTAAGGATGAAGAAGGTCAAAATGGAAACAACAATCTGTCCACGTTATTGGTAGACAATTTTAACCAAGTGCGTGAACACAATAGGGATAACAACACCGCCAGTAGCAGGAACGATAAATGTCAGTTAGTCGCCCAAGTGGGGAACAAATCAGATAGCACCGCTACGGCTGATGCAGTGGACAAGTACTATGTAGACATGTTCACCAATTGCGATAGCCAGTCACGGTATATAGGAGCAAAATTAAAAAAAAAAAAAAAAAAAACAGATAACATTCCACATACTCATAGGTACGAAAATGAAAACACGCCGATTCAAAACGTACACTGGTTCCAGAAGGAGAAAAAAAAAGGGAACTCTCCAGAAAAAGAACTAACACAAGCTGAGACACATGCAACGCAAATGGGTCATATCGGAAAAGGCCGAAAGGAAGTTGGCACGACGATATGCTCCTCACGAAGTGGTCAACAGGGTGGTCAACAGAACGGACAGTTAAGTCCACCTTTCGATGCAACAAACGGTAACTATAAAAGGGAAAATCACGATCTGGACAAACATTTAAATTTTGAAAAAAGGGAAAGTTACAATTTCTTCGATGATCCGGTGGATACATTGGACCGAGCCATGCGGGAAGAGAATTCCAAACCGTCCAACACTCATCGAGGAGTAAGCCAAAATGAGATAAAGACAAAATGGGAGGAACTAAAAAGGCGTGATTATAATCCCGAGGAATACTCAAATTTCACCAATTCGTTAAACGGAAAGAGGGAGGAAAATTACTTTTTCCCTTCATGCAACGAAAAACACAATTTGAGAAAATTAAAATATGATATCAGCGAGCATATATACGGAGACACGCCTCTTAATTGGAATCCATCCTCGAGCACCCCCCAAAAGGGGACAATTCACTCAAGGGAATATACGACGCAAAAAGAAGACTCCCCAAGGATGGTCAAACATGGCAAAAGAGGCAACGTCGTCATGAGTGACGACAATACAGCCAACACAGAGTATAACCAAAAAATAAACGACCATTTTAACCAATCCCATTTTAGCGATTTTTACAACTCAAACAGTTTTTCTCAAAGCTTCAATTTTACAGACCAGGATTGGGCTGTAAGAGGGAACAGCAACTGCGATAGTATCTCCCATAATTTTGTTAACACAAATAAGTTAGATGAAATTATTGAGAAAATAAAAAAATGGAATGAACACATTTCAAACGATGTAAACTATATACAGTGCCTATTTTGTGATAAGTATTTATTCAAAGTGGAAAATCATTACGATAAGGACATACTCAACTCTTCGATAAACGAATCCATCAGGAGAGAAAAATATACTTGTGCGATCTGCAAACATAAGATAAGAACGCTAAGGAAATACAACGATGAGGTAAAAATTGGAGAGCAGGTTGACACACAAAAGGGGGAGTATTTTGAAGGCAAGTTAAAGGATGGAAAAAAATATATTCCTCACAATGAAGGGGGTGTAGTAGACTTCTTACAGACGGAAAAATTCAAAAATTCACTTGACATCACTTGCTCTGGGAGCAATAAATTTGCCACCTCAATCCGAACGGATGCATCGTTAAAAGATTCATCGCTAGAGGATGCATCGCTAAACAGTGATGTTATTAAAAAGGGTGCCTACCACAGGGGAAGAAAAAGTGAAAGTGGAAATGTCCTCGGTGAAAATTGCTCTTCTGCTGCAAACTGCGAAATTGACGGCCTTCCCCAGTTTGCTAAATGTAGCCACGAAAAACAAGCGCTTTCTTTTCACAACAGAAATTTAATTTATCCCCGCGGTTTTGCCATTTTTGATGACACGGCTGGGAATGGTCCGCATGGCAGCAACATGGATTCGGGCCTCTTCCGTTTCGAGGAGGTCCACCCTAAAAGGGGAAGCAACACCGACAGCGACGGCGGCGAAGCTATTGACATTAGAAGCACGAGAAGCAGTGGCGAAAACATAGTGAACACCTGCTCGCTAGACAACGAAGTGACAACGCAGGAACGGGGTAAATTCTACCAGATGGACGCAACTGAAGGACGCCAATTTGAACACACACATGATGATGCAGACGACGCCACGATGAACAATACGAGCAGCGTGACAAAGAACAAAGTGGAGCTACCTGTAAAAAGAGACAAGACAGATGGTGAAAATTGGACGAACCCAAATGGTGCAAATGTGGAGAAAAAGAAAAAAAACGAAAGAGGCAGAATTAAAAGGTGCGAAAAAAAAAGGCAAAAATTAAAAAGAAGCTGTTCCGCGAACGGGAACAATATCTATTTGTATGGCAGGTTCGATGACGTGCACCCCTTGGTCCAAAGCAATTTTTCAAACCCGCAAAACATTCAATTAAACAACATGCGTGTTAGAAATGGCTTCCCAACGGAATTGCAAAACTGTAGAAGCGATTCGGGCAGTGAACCTAGCAACGAATTTTTAAACAAAAAAAAAAATATAACTCACTCCATTACTTCTGGGTGCAAAAAAAAGTAAAACCGTATCGGTATTTAGATTGCACAAACTGGTGCCCGAGAAAGTACCATTTAAGAGAGAATAATTTATTTATCTCGTTCAGTGAGGACTATTCGCCGTTTGGTGATCATGTCGATGAATCCATGCGGGACGAGATAAAAAGCGGCACAATTTAGGAAAAAAAAAAAAAAAAGCCTTTGCCGGAGAGCCGATTCTCAAGAGATGGATGGCGAACCAAACTCAGACTGATTTTCACAACTACATTTAAATCGCCCACAGGAAACATAACCGAACGAACCGCACGCTTCCGTTTAAAAACCCCCACATGAAGTAGCAATTTAGGCACCAAAATGTTGTCTATTTTTTTTTTCTTGTCCCTACGTAGTAACAAAGCGCAGTTTCTTATTAAAGAATGTCTCTACAAAGAAGGGGGACTAGCCCTCAAAACTGACACTTTATAACTATCAAATCTTTTCCCAAATATAGGCATACATGCACACACATTTTAATACATGTGAACCAAACTAGTACAAAAATGACGAATTTGTTCATCCGTTTGCGCGAGGTCGCTGCAGGATAATTACAAAATGAGCATATCTTCATTAAGCACAGAGTACACAATTTTCAGAAAAATTTTTATCTTGAATTCGTCCTCCATAAGTTTAATAATTTGTGAAAATGTTACATCCCATTTCGAAATATTTGTTAACCGTTTGTGACCCATTTTTTCTATGTACTCACTTAATATGCAGAATGATTGCACCTTTTTTTGCAAAAAGTCGTCATGCTCCTCATCGTCATGCTCTTCACGAGCAGCCCCTTCTCGTTTCATAGCATTTCTTTCTGTGCTGTCCATTTGGCTTCCCTTTTGCACAGAAGCGTTACCTCCATTTTGTCCCAATTCATTAGCGGGATGTCCACAGTGATTGACATAAAAACAGCCATGAATGTCAAACTGGTTTGCACTGGAACATCGCCTGGATTTATATATCAATATGTTTACGCATACAAGTGAAGCGAATTTTTCTAAGATCAGTTTGACCGGTTCTGGGATAACTTCATCAGACTTAATAAACAGAAATGAAAAGGAAAAACCTTTACATAAAATAAAGTTGTCAATTTTGGTTTCTTTATGATGATAACTCTTTTTAATGATGTAGACATTTGGGTGGCAACTTTTCAGATGATCTAAATTAAGGAGTAAATATTTCCTTAAAAATATCTGGTCATTTAAAATGTACGACGTGTAGTTAATTAGCTGGTTTATGGTCCTGTTAAAATATATATGCTTAAAAATATCTTTATGTTCCACACGGTTTAGCATTTTGTCAACGTCGATTTTGTTTTCATCATAGAATAGGGGCAAATAATCAGGCAACACTTCTTCGTCAAAGTTTAACTGCCCTACTTTTCTAGTTATATTACCTCCAATTAATTTGTTACACAGGTTAATTAACAGCTCTTTAAAATGTATATTCTCCGATACTAAGTCATTGTAGCTGTTTAGCTCTGCTATCGATGTGCAGTTTCCCCTTGACGATAAGCAGTAGTACCCTTCTGTTAATTTCGCATCCTTTTCGTAACTTCTATTAAAATTTTGAAAAATATAATCTACACTTCTCTCAATGTTATACTCATTTTTGTTCAGAATATTTTTACATATGCCTACTGACAGGTTTGTGATTTTTCGGAGGTCTTTAATTTTTTTTAGATTTTCACTGGATAGCGCCGATCTGACGCTGCTGAACCGGCCTTTTGTTCTCGCCCATTTGAAGCGGTTTAGGCATTCAAACTGAGGCATCATCATCCAGTCCAGGCATACCCTAACCAGTGCGTCTTGGGGGGGATAACCAATTGGGGCACACACATATCCGGACACGTATCAGCTCAGATATGTGCACACATTTTTGACAAACGCCCTTTCGTATGGTGCTCCTTACACACGTTTACGACTGGGAGGGCCCATGCGGATGAGCTTACCCTGAAAAAATGGTGAATGGTGGAACCCCCTCTCGAAATGTGTCACAAATTGGGGAAAATAAAACGCTAAAAGAAAACGACAGTACTGTGAAAATTGCGTGCCCAATATTAACCTTACAATGAAAAAATCTCTTACGTTGTTAGGAATTTTTTTTCAAAGTATAGGCAAATCCCTGTGTTTTTTAAAAGCGCAATCACCCATACTGCCGGTAACACGCTCCTTAAAGTGTAGAAGGGATGAACTGCCCATTTTTACGCATTAGAAAAATTAAATTGTTCCATATCGACATATTTATTGTGTAATACTATTTTTTGTAAACATTTGTGACGCTTTAATGGGACGTAGGACCTCTTCCCATTTTTTCCGGTGCCGCCTCTTCAGTTAAGTGTATGACAAAAAGCGGTAGAGGGTGTAGTACAAAAAGAAAAAAAATAAATAATAAAAAGTTCGTTTTGTCAGAAAAGTCCTTTTTCCCACCTTTTGAATAACTCAACTGAATTTCATCAAACTCGCTTTAAGAACATAGCATGATGCGAGTAGCCTTTCTTACATTGCTTTTCTTTTAGCCGATGATATTGAAAAGGAAGAGGGGGGGGAGTTCAGAATAATCACAGAGGAAAAACGTCCTAGCAACGAAATATTTTTTTTTTCTTGGTAGGGGCGAATTGTGCCACGCTCATACTTGCAGATATTACAATACATCTTAGTAAAAAAGAGAGAAAAAAAAAAACAATCGGTAGCCATCCAAACGTTTTTGCGCTTAAGCTTATATTACGTATGATCCCAGCTCCTTTTCATTTTCTTGTCAAATGTATACTCTTTTTTTTCTTCCCTCTCTGATTTGCAAGGCCTTTTTTTACCC